TTTTCCTACCATGTGAACTATAACCATCCAATACAATTCCTTTTATGGTCAATTCTCATACAGTATGCTGTCATGATCTGGATAGATAATAAAATAGAGTGGTCTTACAAGTTTACGATCATTGTACTTACCGGCGTATGTGAGGAGAACGAGTTAATGGAACCCTCCGAGTTCATTGAGAAGTCTACATTGTCAGAGCCATTTGATTGGAAACTAAGTGGCCCTGAGAAATCACTACCACCTGATATGGAATTCCCATGGGATAGCTTATCTGACGTAACTGATGTAACTGACTGCGTTGGTGAATTTGTTTTGCTGCCAGACCTATGTGCTTTTGGCGGGACGTGCTTAAAATCAGAGCTTTTATTCAAAGATATTCCACCAGCTGAACTCCCTTGACTAAAATGCATTGTGCAATGCAGGAAAAAAGTCACACAAAAAAAAAAAAAACCAAGCAGCATAAACTTGTTTGTGGGGGAGATACAACATAAAACTTGTAAATGCAGGATTTGCAAATGTGAGTAATTCACTGTCTAGCATCCAAGGAGTACATATATGTGGATACAGTCTGTATAAATTTATTTAATTTTCATATTCGATACGACATTTCATGATCCTAATGAGATCCGGAAATTGAAGATCCTGAGTTCCTGAGTTCTTGATAAGCTACATAAACTAACAATCTTTTCCCTCTATTTTCTCTTGCCTACTGCCAGATCTGCTGAACTTTGTTAAGATACCTGTTGATGTGGTTTTTACTTGCTGAAACAACAAAGTCTTAATAAGAAATCATAGAACTGATAATATTAAGTCATGCAGAAACATTCTGACTCAGTCTCATTACCATCATCTACAATGGACACAATTAGTCAGAATAGGCTAACATCAAGTTCCTGTTTACTAACTTTTAACAATGATCACTAAAGAGTGTGCATATTAGTGGCCCGGAATTTATAGATTTGATGTCCAGTTATATTATCCACCAGGCATGGTTTAAAATGATACCTGATCACATCTTCAAAGTCTGGCACACCGTGAAGAAAGCTGGAAAGCGGTGTCCGTTGAAAGCTATTATTCCTGGGAGTAGCTGCATTACTTTTCGGTGTTTGAGGTCCAGTTGCGGACCGTGAAGTCTGAATTTTTCCTTTCGATATAACATATACAGCACAGGTTTCTGGTACAGATTTGAGTAAGGAAGTAGCCACATCTGTACGCCTAAATTTTCTGCATCAAGACAAGTACCAAGAGTAGCTGTTAAATAGAAAAAAAAACATAAACATGGTCTAATACTAGTTATCACAGAAATTATTTACTACTTTACTGTGGAGAGAGAGAGAGAGAGAGAGACCTTGTTAGAGCATTGTGATGGGAAGCACCAACAACAATATTGCATATGGAGTTGCTGACAACATAATCGGCAAGCGCATTTGGAACATCAATGTCGTGGAGGACAACTTCCTTGGCTACAATCTGAAAAGCTTGTTGTCAATAACAGAAAAATCAGGTCACATCATGATTTTAATCTATCAGACAATATCCATGTGAAAAGATTTGGCAAGTTCCTTTTAACCTTCCATACATATATCTATCTTTAGCACACATGAACTAATTAACCAAGTCTGTGTGGAAGGCCATACATGATTGTGTTTTATCAAGAGAGAAATTGTAAGTTTAAACCATTCAAAAACTAGCCAAAAAGCATATGCATAAGGACTAATTAAACAAACGCTTTATATATTTTTAAAGTCCACCACAACATACACTTCCAGTTCCTGGTGAGCTACTATTAGGGTTGAAAAAGGTTCAGTCTATATGGAAATCAAATGATCAATCACTAACCCCTTTTCGCGCACAGAATCCTCGGTAGGGGAGAAAGAACTGTTGCAACTCGGCTTCAGTTGGTGGGCGGCCATCTTTAGAGACTGCTCCATGATCATCTGCAAAACCAAGAGCACATATCAAGCACATACACAATCTTAATGAGATATATATGACCATGAAAAGGCAAATGATGATGC